TGACGAGTTAGTTCTTTTGCCAGGTCTCCTCTGGATGGCCCTGAGTGCCCCCAAGTGCACCCTGAACCTCCACATGTTCACACTGCGGGCTTCATGCACGGTCTCAGACGCCTCGATGCCCATACTAAGGCAACACATCACAGAAGCTGGCAGCATCGCTATCGGCAAGAATTTGGCTTCCGAACCCAGTGATTCATCACCCATCCCGGCAGAACAACACACCACCGCTATTTTAGTCCCTTGGTGCTATTGCCACCACCACCCCCAAGTGCAAAAGTCTATTTAAGCAGAGACTGGCAAACCAAAACATGCCATTAACGTTTACCCCCTCTTTTTGGTAAGAAAGGGGGCTAACAGGCTACTCACCTGATTTCAAAATATTTATCACACAGATGAATCAAGTTTCAACCTCACGCATTCACAAGGGGGAAGCAGGGAGCAAGGTTTACAAACTAACTGTTAAAATCCTAAATTCGGGAAGGGATACATCCACTTGCTGGGCGGAAAGGAAGGTCTTTGGTCCTGACATTTCTGAAGTTCCCACTTCTCACACTGCCCCTCCCCATTTCCCACAGGGTTCCGGTAGGGGTTTGGCTGCTGCGTGGGTGGTGTACCGTTCGTTGCCCGTGCGGGTCTGCGGGAAGCAGCTTTCGGTTCTTAGGGGCGCCGCTGCAGTGTGAGGAGCACCCGACAGGCCCCCATCCCGGTCACGGCGGACACCACTGGTTACCAGAAGCCGTTCTTGTTGAGAATTTAACGCAAACTCCCCAGACGCTGTTCTAGTGGCAGGGGCTGAATCCTGGGCACCAGGCAGCACACAGGAGCCCCTCCCAGCAGCGCCCTCCTCCAGGGCCCCTACCTTTTCAAAGGCGGCTTCTCGCTTCCCTCGTTTGCGTTTTCCGGGTCTGCGGTTCACTCGAATCCATTTCGCCACCTGAAGTCAAAACCCAACAGCATTTCAAGAAGGCCGGGGTGCGGGCATCCGTCTCACCTGGAGAGCCCTCCCTGCACAGCTGCCACCTCTGCCCGCCTCACTCACCTCTGCACCCACACCTCCCGCCAGCCCCCCCGCCCCGCAGCCCCCGCCCCCGCCCCCCTCCCTCCGC